CCTTCTCCCCGGTTAGAACTGATGCAAAGAGCACACCAGAAAAGGAGTCCACGGATACATGAACAAATTGGTTCTTCCCAAAGGATGGGACGTGTGTCACATCCATCTGCCACAATTGATTGGGTCTCAATCCCCTAGGATTGACCCCCTCATGTGAAGCAGGTCTAAATTCGCAGCAGGCAGGGCAATCAAGAACTATTTGGCGTGCTTCCTTTCTAGTGATCCCAAATCGGAGTCTGAGGGTTTGGGCTGAAACATGAAATTGTGAATGAAACTGGCGGGCTTTCTCCCCTGAGGATGGTGGAGACACCATCATAATCATGATTTGGGTTCTGGTGGCGGCATCGGCAAGAGCATTCCCTCGAGCTAATGGCCCTGGTAAACCTGAATGAGCTCGGATATGGGTTATATAAAAGGGGTGGCTTCTACGCCAGATGGCCTGTTGAATTTGTTTAAAGAGATCCGCCACTGGGCCGGACCCTGAAATAGAGCCAGCGGCCTCCAAAACATTCACTGCATTAACTACATATTGAGAATCAGAAACAATATTCAAAGGTTCTAGAAAGGTTTGTAAGGCAAAAAGCACCATATGGCATTCTACCCTCTGAGGAGAGACCGTCGCAAAGGTCTTTTTTATCACAGTATCTCCGGCAACTAAGGCTCCGGCTCCTGTCGAGGAACCGTCAGTAAAAATTGTAAGAGCACCAGGGAGAGGACAGGCACTGGTTCTTATCGGAAAAACCACAGGATGTCGCTGTAAAAATTGTAGTAATGGATGCCTTGGAAAATGATTATCAAAAATTCCCTGATAGACAAACATTAAGATGGACCACTCATTGCTACACCCACTCAGCACTTGTAATTGCTGAACAGTATAGGGGACTATTATGCGGTCCGGATGACGCCCAAAATGAATTAAGGCTAATTTTAATCCTTTAAACACTATTGACGCGATCGCAGATGGATACCATTGAATAGACTTAATCTGAGAAACCTGAGAATGAATCCAAAGTAACGGGCCCTGTTGCCATAATACAGCAGTGGGGAAAACTTCTGTAGGCAATACACATAGCTCAAAAGGCTGATTTTGATCTAGGCGTACTAATTGAGCCTTTTCAATAGCTTCCTGGACTTTTATTATGACCTGTTGTGCCTCATGGGTGAGGGTTCGCCTGGAAGCGAGATCAGAATCGCCTTCAAGCAGAGCAAACAAAGGCCGTAACTCTTGAGAAGAGATCTTAAGGAAGGGTCGCAACCAATTAATATCCCCCACTAATTTCTGAAAATCATTCAAAGTTCGCAAATGAGAAATCTTGAGGCTTATCTTTTGAGGCTTAATACATGTTTCTGTAATTAAAGACCCTAAGAAGGCTTTCACCTGCTGTATTTGAACCTTCTCGGATGAAATTATAAGGCCATAATCCTGTAAAGCCCGCTTCAGATCAACGTAAATCTGTAACAACTGATCTTGCTCTTGAGCACAAATTAAAATATCGTCCATATAATGGACGACACGGGCCACTGGAAAACGATCTCGCAGTGGTTGTAACACTTGGGCAACATAAAGTTGACACATGGTAGGACTGTTAGCCATCCCCTGGGGCAAAACTTTCCATTGATATCGCTTATCCGGCTCTTCATGATTAATGGAGGGAATAGTAAAAGCAAACCTCTCCCTATCCTTCAATGCTAATGGTATAGAAAAAAAGCAATCCTTCAAATCAATCACTAATAACGGCCATTGCTTAGGGAGGGATGACAAAACTGGAAGGCCACGTTGAACGGGACCAAAGCACTGCATCTGTGCATTTACAGCTCTTAAATCATGTAGGAGGCGCCACTTTCCTGATTTTTTTTCTGATAACAAAGATAGGAGTATTCCAAGGAGAAACAGAGGGCTCCAGATGTCCCAAATGTAGCTGTTCCTGAACTAATTGTTGAGCAGCTTGGCATTTTTCAAGAGAAAGCGGCCATTGGGGAACCCAAACCGGCTCCGCTGTTTTCCAGGGTATGGGCAGCTGCACGCCAATGGCCACTACTAAAAACCCAGACCTTTACGGCCTGGATTTCCCCGGGGTTCAATTGGCTGGACAATACCTTGACTCTGTTTACCTAAACCCTTTCCTTGAATATAGCCCATTTTATCCATCAACTTTTGAGAGACTTCAGAATAACCAGAGGCATTGGAGACTAGTCGTATCCCCATCTGTTGAAGAATATCTCTTCCCCAAAGGCAAACCGGTAGGTTCAGGACATAGGGTGTGACTGTCCCGCAATTGCCTTCCTTATCCTTCCACTGTAGGGCTCTGGCACTTTGGGATGGAGCTTGTTCAAACCCCAGACCGCGTAGGCTGTGAGAAGTTTGAATCAAAGGCCAATCACGCGGCCAATACTTGGAGGTTATGATGCTCTTATCAGCTCCCGTGTCTAAAAGCCCCATAAACGGTCTATTCTCTATTTGCAACTCAAGCATGGGTCTATCGATCATATCCATCATTAAATTTATATAAGGAACCTCTACTTGGGTCTGGACAGTCTTATCTGCACTAATTAAAGCTGGTAAAAATATGAGTTGGGCTATAGGATCACCTGGCGCGACAGCAAAAGCACCTCGTGGGACTGAGCACAGCACTGAAAAGGAGCTAGCTTCCGGATGTAAAATTCCAGGTGTTACAATAAAACCTTGAGAGCTCAAGGCTGCTCGGCCTATCACAAGCCCGACCGCACCAGGTGGTACCGTGTCTGTTAAGATGACCGGTACCGGCGTAATGCCGTCCTCTGGTTTTAAGAGGACTCCGGTGGCGGCACAGAGGTCCAGACTTGCAGGGTGTCGCTCCTGGCAGGGTTCCCTCATGCATGACGGAAGAGTGCCCGATCGGTCAAGGGGACCTGGGCCTTCGATCCCCATCTCCCGTTTTTTGACTCCTGGCTTAAGGGGTGTTTTGGCTCCTGACTCGAGAGAGGGCGTCCTTTTATATCCTTCACTGACTTGCATTCATTGGCCCAATGTCTACCTTTGCGGCACCGTGGGCATATCCCAGGAGGCTTATTGCTAGGCCCTGCACGGCATTCCCTTTTCATATGTCCTGGTTTGCCACACTGAAAGCACACGGGTGATGTTCTCTCCCTATGATTAGACCTCAAAATGGCGGCTGCTAGTCCATGAGCTGTTAAAGGGCCTCCTGTATCCCTACAAACCTTTAGCCAATCTGAAATTCCCTTGGACTTACGATCCTTGAGTAGGGCTCTACATTCTGCATTACACTGCTCCCAAATTATCTGCTCTACCATTCTAGTGTTCTGATCTCCCTCTCCAAAGGTCCTTTCCACGGCCTGCATTACGCGTGCCACAAAATCAGCAAAGGGCTCATCCGGCTCCTGCTTAACCTGTGTAATGCCCAGTTTCTCTTGCCCTTTAAGTGAAAGGGCCTTCCAAGCCTTTATAGCTGCAGTAGAAATTTGAGTATATACTGGCCATGGATATCTATTTTGATCATCAGAGTATTGGCCTTGTCCGGAAAGCATATTATAAGACCACGTCAAAGCGTCGCCGCCGCGCTGTTGATTTGCGCGGGCGGTCTCAGCCAAAAGCTCCTGCCATAATCCCTTCCAATTTAGATATGATCCCATATTAGGGAGAACAGCCTTCACCACAAATTGCCAATCAGAGGGAGTCATATTCATTCCCCCCATACGTTCTAACAGGGACAATGTATAATTGGCATGAAGACCATATTGCTTTACAGACATGGCCAATTCTCGCACTAATAATGCATCTACCTGTCTGTAAACTCTTTCCCTTTCTTCTTCTAAGACGGGGAACATATTTTGAAGTTCCCGGCGTGTGACTGGATCGATGAAGGAGGAGCCGGCACCACAACTCATGGGTGGGGCAGATGGGGTTACAGGAGGAGGAACCATTAGTGAAATGGCTCCAGAGCCCTGAGGCCATGGGCCGAGCATGGCCGGCGCAGTAGCACCGCAATTCTCTTTCTTCTCCTTTTCTGATCCTCCTCTGTTTCCTGCGGGTTGTTTGCGTTCTAAACGCCTATCCCGCTTGTACCCTTCCTCCGCGTCGGACGTCTCCGAACTTGATGAGGAAGATCCTGCTTTCAGTTTCACCTTTCTTTTCAAACCGGTTCTCCTCTCCCGCTCTGTTTCTGAGAGACTATCCTGGGCAGACTGAAGGGCTTTGTCACTCTCTCTGACCGCTCCCTTAAGGAGGGCATAAACCGTCTGCAAAAATTTTACCAGAGAGATCTGTGCGCCCATGTCTATAACCAGAAGCAGTGGCTCCTATACCTCCGATTTATGCTCCTAGTCACCCGAAAGTTCTCCCTCTCAGAGCTCCTTACCTGTCTTATGGCCGCAGTTCTGACTTCGTCCCATTCAAAACGGGAGGCCCCCTCCAGGTCCCGGGTATTCGGCACCAGTTGTCGCGCCCACGTTTCTTATCGTCCGGCGATAAGAGGCAGACGCGAGTGAAGTCTTCTGCGGTAATCTTTATTGCGCGCACCAAGATGAGGAGGGAAAGGCCCAGATCCCGGCAGGCTGTCTGCTCTTATGTGCTGACTGGCCCCGCCTCCACCGATGATAGGTCGGCGTCATGATTACGCAGGGTCCTGGGCGACTGGATTCGTCAGTCCCAGTGTTCATGCGCCGGCCACGCCTCAGCTCACTGGGCATGTGCTAGGCGCCTGCGCAGTACCACAAAAGCTACGTCACCAGGAACCAAGGTGTGGCTTTTCCGGCCGGCGCCATTTTGGGTACGGCATGTAGCCAGTACATGCAGATGCGGCTGGCAACAGCTCACTGCCCTCCTGCCAGCCCCACACCTCTTTCTCCAAGAGTTCACTGCTTCACAGCAAGGTGCCGCCCGCACAAGCTCACACACAGACTAAGCACTGTGCCACATGCTGTGATGTCTGCTAGCAGAAAACCAGGGTATCAAAAGGACCAAGAATTCTTAAGACAATCTGTAATGACAAGACTTTTCTTACCGTGAGCATGATGGGCTCACACACCCTCTGCTTGAACTTGTCTCTGTTGCTTCTCAGCCATAACACGGCGTCGTAGGTGTCACGGTACCTCTGTCTCAGCTTATCCTCCTTCTGGTTCATAAGATTATCAAAACGCACAATATGATCGCTCACATCTGCAGTGAGAAAAACACGTTTCTCTGAAGGCCTTAATCGGTAAGATAACCCGCTAATAATGTTAAAGAATATTGCCGGAGTCCAGCTCCAGCTGAGTTCAGAACTCGCAAAGGGTGCATGGATGAGGCGCAAAGAAAGAGACCAGTAGGAACTCCTGATCGTAATGGGCGACGCACAAAAGCTGTCCGCTTTATTTATACAAAATCAGTCAAACTCTGGCTCAGGCTTTTTACGTCACGGTCAAGTGGGGGTTTCTAAAGATAACTCTGCCATTTGTTTCACCTAAGGCTAGGTTGCTATTCACCTGGCACCTGGCGCCTGGCTAGGAAAAGGTTTTCAATAGATGGTGCATATCAATCAGTAACACATTCCTACCACAATTCTCATTCTACAGCTTGCTCTTGAGACAGTCAAGGAAGGAAGGGACCTAAAAGATCAAAGAAAGAGGAAAGAACAGATTCCCACCACACCTGAAGACAGAACACCCTTGATTAGCATAGGATCAAAAGGGGAGTTAGCACCCTTGATTAGCATATGGTCAATGGGGGGAGGGAAAACCCTAAGCCTTATGGCTAAAACAGTATCAGCAACATCAACTTCCAAGCTCACATCGGTAGTAAACATTAACTCCACAGAGGCAGACAATGCCTAAATAGATTACAGAAACCTCGATGGGGTTGTCCATGCAAAGCAAGGTGGAGCTGCATTCAGGTGTTGTAGAGACATCCGCCAGGCCTTGCCATACAGCGGGAAGTTCCTTGCGGCCTTGCACACCTTCCTGTCTTCCACATCCATCACATGGGCCCCAGCAGAATATGCCAGATGTAAAGCTTCTAAATATTATTCTGCAAGTACTCTGCATAGAGGAAAAGAACTGGCCTGGATAAGTCAACCTAAAGTGTTCTAACACCCAAGATTAAAAATAATCTTGAAGCTATAAAAAATGTTAAGCAGGTAGCCTAAGCAGGAACAGAAGAGGACAGTGTTGTGGCACTGCTTGCAATCCTGGCATGCCGGACTGCAATACTGACTGTTCAATCCAACTTCCTGCTAACGGCCCGGGGGGCAGGGAAAGATGTCCCAAGGACATGAGAGACCCAGGGGGCTTCACGGCCCTTAGCTGGGACACTGTGGTCATTTAGGGAGAAGAACAATGGATGCAAGACCTGTTTTTCTGCCTTTGAAATAAATACAGAATTTAAAAGAAGAAAAAGAAAATTAGGTTTCGTATCAGAAGACAGTAACAACAGACCTCCAAAATTCTGAGAAAACTTATTTTCAACCTAAAAGTATACACAAAAAATTGAGTAAAGGAGAGCAAAAAGACACTACCAGGATGGATACAAAGACTATGAAACTCATTCTAAAATGCCACTGCTTAGGATGGGCTCTGATTATGCAGCAAAGATAAAGAACGCAGCCACAGACGACTTCCTGAGAACAACCAGTGTGGCCAGCAAGAGGCACAGAGCTACAGAAGTGAACAACACTCCATAATTCCTTCAATTTAAAGAAACAAACAAGCAAGTGTCATATTTTTTAAAAACTAGAATAAAACATTTAAAACTATTAACAAAAGGAAATTTAATCATAAAATAATACTTGGCTTGGGTGTGTCAGAGTTCATTGTTATAATATTATTTCTGAGCTTGTAGAATTAACCCGTATAAGAAGAATACACAAAAATTAGTAATGCTTCTCAACAGAATATCAAAGTGTTTTCAGGCTTGAGTAAACAGAGCCCAGCTGGCAGAAGGAGAACCAGGAAGCGTGAGAGGAGGGAAAGCATGGATGAGGCCTGCTACTTTATACTGCCAAGTACACATTCAGGAATATTAGTAACTCAAGTAACAATAAGAAAGACAGGAATTTAATCAAATTAATCCTTTTTAAACTTTTATTTTATTTTAAAGATCTCTTTATTTTTATGTGAAAGGCAGAGCCACAGCTGTCTTCTACCTGCTGGCCAGGGCTGGGTTGGACTGAAGCCAGAAGCTTGCCCAAGTGCGTGGCTGATCCGCCGCTGCCTTCCCAGGCCATAAGCAGGGAGCTGGATCAGAAGTGGAGCAGCCAGGACTTGAACCAGCACCCATAAGGGATGCCAGCACTGCAGCCAAAGGCTTAGCTTCTTGACCCCAAGAATTAACTTTTAAAAAACTGATGTTACTGGAAAGAGATGCAAGCTTCCATCTGCTGGTCCACCCTCCAAACACCTACACAGCTCAGGTCTGACCAAGTTAAAACCAGGAACCTGGAACTCAAGGGGGGTGGCAGGAACCAGTCCACCTGAGCCATCACTGGACGCCTTCCAGGTACGCAGCAGCAAAAAGCTGCAACGGAAAACAGCGCTGGGAAGCAGATCCAGGACTCAATCGAGGTCTGATACGCGATGCAAGCATTCCAAGCAGTGTGCTAAGTAACCTACACCCAAATCAATTCTAATATAATCTAACAGTCTCATCACAGGAACAAGAATCAGAAAGAAAAGTTGTTCTAAGCTAGAATGCATGTCGGAGTGACTGTCAGAACATCTCAAGCCGACTAAAGTAGCCGCAGTGGAATAAGACGATTAATAATCAAGAACGGACTGTTACAGACAACAAGTAGTGGAGTTCACCAAGAGCCTCCTCCTGGCAAGCTGGGAGGGCGGGACTGGAGCTGGACTCTGCACACAGAGCTACGCCGGGATGAACACAACGGCTTCTAATTCATCTGTCACATATGCTGACTTAGACCACAAGCTCTCTCCCAGAACGTGCTGAGGATGCAAGGCTCGATCCCCTATCCAGGGGAAAGAAAAGGCAACACTGGATAGGCTTGGAAGAGCACAGCTGGCGAGTATGAATGAATAACAAATCTGACGGGAGTGGCAGTGAATTAGCTCTGCTAGAGAAATTAAGCCAACAGTTACAGTTAATAGCTGACACACAGTGGCTACAGGTATCTCAGGAACCGAGCTAGTGCGAGCAGAACTCCAGCAACAACCCTGATTGGCCTGAACAAATGACCACGTGAACAGCAAGGCGCACCAAGAAATCTCCATTTTGGAAGCATTTCTTAAGCACACTTACTCTTTCTTTCCTTCTCTAACGTCTGCTTTTCTCTCCGCTTGTCGATGATCTCGCCTTCACACAAGGCCTTTTCATCCTGAACTTGGCTCAGATCGTTCGTGACAGCCTCAATCTGAGGCTGAAGATTTTCACAGTTTTCAGCCGAATGCAGTTCATTCTGCAAATCTGCTATCATTTTGCGGGTATTACTTATTCTTCGTTGTCGGTCATCCTCTTCATTTTGTTTTACTATTAAAGCCTGCTGAAGCTCCTCAATCTAATAAAACAAAAGTGCATTAGGACCTTAGAGTTTTTTACTCCATGTTTGCTTTTCACAGTAATAGTTTTACAAATGCTGGGCCCAACACAGCAGCTTAGAAGCTAAAGTCCTTGCTTGAACACATTGGAATCCCATATGGGCACCAGTTCTAATCCCGGCGGCCCCGCTTCCCATCCAGCTCCCTGCTTGTGGCCTGGGAAAGCAAATGAGGATGGTCCAAAGCCTTGGGACCCTGCACCCATGTGGGAGACTTAGTGGAGGCTCTGGACTCCTAGATTCAGATTGGCTCAGCTGTAGCAGTTGTGGCCGCTTGGGGAGTGAACCAGCAGACGGAATATCTTCCTCTCTGTCTCTCCTCCTCTCCGTATATCTGACTCTCCAATACAAATAAATAGACAAATGCAAAGATATCCTGGTAGAATTTGACTACTAGATAACCAGTCTAAGCAGATTATTATTTTTGTTTTATTTGGTTATTCATATATCTCAAATACCTAAAACAGAACTTATCATATAGAGTATTCACCAGTAGAAAAACCAAGACATTTATAAAGCCAAGCATATTTTAAATATTTGCAGAAAGTAAGTATGTACCACATATTGTAAGACTGGAATTAAAATCCATGCGCTAAAGCATACAATTGCCTCAATGAGCAACAGAAATGACGATGTAGCTCAAAGTCTTAAGCTGAGCTATTTTCTTTCAACGAAAAATCTGCTTTATCAGCACTTCAGATTAATATTGTGAGGTTTTCATCATAAATCTATATGCTCAGATTCTTGACGTATATGCTAGTTAAAACTTTTAAAAATCAAGATTTGTAATTTGCCACCTGATGTTAGAGAAATTTTAATCTAAATCACTCTATCTACCACAGAATTAAGATTTTTAAGAAACATTAATTTACAAATATGTACTTATACACCCAATTTATATTTTACAACTAAAACTATGCATTAAAGGAAACACATCATGTAACGCATGTATTAGTTGGTCTTGTTTCAAAATTTCCTTCCCCATTAATAAAAGTCATAAAAATATAATTCATTACCATAAAACAGACTTTTAAACAAGTATAAACTTACAATCTTTGTATCGTTCGATGTTTAGATGTTCATGTCTATGAGACACACAGAATGTAAGGATTTTGATGGACATCATTAACAGTACACTGCCAGTGCCTTCTCCTTAAAGAATGCTGGCAAGTAGAACTCATACCTTTAAAACCACAGGGCCCAGCGCGGTAGCCTACTAAAGTCCTTGCCTTGCACACACCTGGATCATGCCCTGGTACCCCACTTCTCATGCAGCTCCCTGCTGCGGCCTGGGAAAGCAGTCGAGGACGGCCCAAAGCCTTGAGACCCTGCACCCCGCATGGGAGACCCCAAGGAGGCTCCTGATTCCGGGTCGGCCCAGCTAAAGCCACTGTGGCCACTTGGAGAGTGAATCATCAGACGGAGTATCTTCCTCTCTGTCTCTCCTCTCTGTATATCTGACTGTCCAATATAAATAAATATTTAAAAACAAATAAAAATGCACAGCTAACTGGGATTTATATCAAGGATGCAAAGTTAATTCAACACTCTAAAAACAATCACTACTTCCCCCATATTAGCAAGCTAAAAGAATACAATCATACAACAGATATAGAAAATCAGTTGACAAAATTACCCATTCATGATAAAAATGATCAGAAACATAGGAATATGTAGCAACATCTAAAATCTGATAAAAGCAACTATAAAATGCCTACAATTGATATACTTGATAGTGAAAAACTGGAGCATTTCCTCCAAAGAGCAAGACAGAGCAAAGAAATCCACACTGACAATTCTTCCTCAAAGTAACTGTAACCCTGGCCGGTGCAGTAAAGGCAGGGAAAGAAACTACATGAAAGTAAGCAAGGAGAACAGAAAGAAGACGTGATTACACTGAAAATCTCCAGCAAGCTGTGGCACCTCAGTGAGAGGCTGCTGGTGAAGGAGACAGACTAGTCAGTGAGGAGACAGACTAGTCAGGGAGGGGACAGACTAGTCAGTGAGGGACAGACTAGTCAGTGAGAGGCTGCTGCCGAAGGGACAGACTAGTCAGTGAGAGGACAGACTAGTCAGTGAGGGGACAGACTAGTCAGTGAGGGGACAGACTAGTCAGTGAGGGGACAGACTAGTCAGTGGGGGACAGACTAGTCAGTGAGAGGCTGCTGCCGAAGGGACAGACTAGTCAGTGAGAGGACAGACTAGTCAGTGAGGGGACAGACTAGTCAGTGAGGGGACAGACTAGTCAGTGAGGGACAGACTAGTCAGTGAGAGGCTGCTGCCGAAGGGACAGACTAGTCAGTGAGAGGACAGACTAGTCAGTGAGGGGACAGACTAGTCAGTGAGAGGACAGACTAGTCAGTGAGGAGACAGACTAGTCAGTGAGAGGACAGACTAGTCAGTGAGGGGACAGACTAGTCAGTGAGAGGCTGCTGATGAAGGGACAGACCAGTCAGTGAGAGGCTGCTGCCGAAGGGACAGACTAGTCAGTGAGGGGACAGACTAGTCAGTGAGGGACAGACCAGTCAGTGAGGGGACAGACTAGTCAGTGAGGGACAGACTAGTCAGTGAGAGGCTGCTGCCGAAGGGACAGATAACGTGTGAGCTGTAAGGCACAGAGGGCTTGAAGAGCTACACAATGCGGTGAAAACAAATCCAACGTCTACGTAGACGCAGACACACGCTGCTGACAGATCCGAGGACACGACGCAGTCAAGACGCAGTGCTCCCCAAGGGTTCAACACAATTCCTGCTAAGAGAACTGCAACATTTTTCTATACATATAAAAAAGATCTGAGTTTCATTAGGAATGGTAAAGCAAGAAACGCTCCAAATTCTTGCCTCCTTGAAAACAACGAGAACATTGAACAAAATTTGTCAAAACTTACAAAAACTTTCTAATTCAACCAAATGTGCAATACACTGCTTACAATAAGCTCACGTTTTCTCATTTAACCGCTTATTTCTAGACACTAGAACTATAAGCTGAGATTATAACATACCAATTGAAAAATAAAAATGTATTCAACATGAAAAGCCTTAGTGTATGTATGTATACTTTGTCTCAGTCCCAAGTACACATGGATTCCTACAGAAATTTCTTATAACAGAATAAACCCCCGTAGCAGAGTTAAGTCCCCAGATTTTCTCTGGCTAAACAAATAAACCCACCGCTACCCTGCTAAGCAACCCTCCCCACGCGCTACAAAGAGCACCGCGTACACATTTTGGAGCAGTCCTGAAGACAATGTCTGCGCTAGTGCCACACTGTCCAGAGGCAGTCCGCCTCAGACGAAGGGAAGCAGTGGAAGGAAGAGGATCTTCAACAACTCAGGAACAGCACTGGTCCCTAGTCCCGACCTGAAAGCGCAAAGGTGAACGAACGCAACGTTTCAACGCAGACCCTTACATGCTTATCCTTCCTTTCAATGAGGTCTTGCTTCTGTTTGCATTTCTGAGATGCTTCCTTGATATCTGCTGCCTGTAACAGAGAGCCAGAAAGAGGGAAGCATCAGTAAACCACTCAGTCAGTCAGTTAATCCACAGCAATACTTCCCCATGATTTATTTCAAACCAAAGTCATAACTATGATACCTACAGTTATTCCTATTGATATTAAAAGCCAATAGTATCATGCATGTGTATGCTTATTTTCTTGTACTTACTTTCCCATTTTATCTGAATCAGAAAATAGTCATATATGACTGTCAAAACATATTATTGCTTTTCAAAGGAATTAGGCTCAGAGGGAACAGCAGCCCGCATGCACAGTCCAAGCCAAAAACTAGGTCTCCTTTCAAACACAAGGTTTTCTCTACCTCGTATTTTAACGTTACACCAGAAAAACAGAAACTGCGCAACCTACACTGTGCAGCCCAGGCCTCAGAGCAGAGGGGACACTGCAGCCTCGGGGCTCTGGGAAGGCCGGCCCGAGGGCAGGGCCTTGGCTGTCAGCCCAGCAGAGTGGGCACTGCAGCCTCGGGGCTCTGGGAAGGCCCGCCTGAGGCCAGGGCCTTGGCTGTCAGCCCAGCAGAGTGGGCACTGCAGCCTCGGGGCTCTGGGAAGGCCCGCCTGAGGCCAGGGCCTTGGCTGTCAGCCCAGCAGAGGGGACACTGCAGCCTCGGGGCTCTGGGAAGGCCCGCCTGAGGCCAGGGCCTTGGCTGTCAGCCCAGCAGAGTGGGCACTGCAGCCTCGGGGCTCTGGGAAGGCCGGCCTGAGGGCAGGGCCTTGGCTGTCAGCCCAGCAGAGGGGACACTGCAGCCTCGGGGCTCTGGGAAGGCCCGCCTGAGGGCAGGGCCTTGGCTGTCAGCCCAGCAGAGGGGACACTGCAGCCTCGGGGCTCTGGGAAGGCCGGCCTGAGGCCAGGGCCTTGGCTGTCAGCCCAGCAGAGTGGGCACTGCAGCCTCGGGGCTCTGGGAAGGCCGGCCCGAGGGCAGGGCCTTGGCTGTCAGCCCAGCAGAGGGGACACTGCAGCCTCGGGGCTCTGGGAAGGCCCGCCTGAGGGCAGGGCCTTGGCTGTCAGCCCAGCAGAGGGGACACTGCAGCCTCGGGGCTCTGGGAAGGCCCGCCCAAGGGCAGGGCCTTGGCTGCTGGCCGGAAGCCGCACTGTGTGAACCTCTGCCTCATTTCTTCACTGAGCAGCTCATGCCCCTGGTACAAGCAAGGTAACTGAGGCACACCTGGTGGAATGTGCGTGGGCCACTCTCCGTGGACACCTGATGCCTCGCGGGGCGGCACTGTGAGAGTTCCACGGCGGAGGAAGCCACAATCTAAGTGGGCCACTCTCCGTGGACACCTCGCGGGGCGGCACTGTGAGAGTTCCACGGCGGAGGAAGCACATCTGAGCCTGGTCCTCACGGAGTCAGCCTGGTGACCTGCTCTACGTGAGCTGCCAAGCCGTGGGGGATCCGGGCAAGGGGATGCCACTCCTTCCCAGGAAGCTAAGCCAGAACTTACTGACTGTAAGCTGAGCACTAACGATGGGTATATAATGTCTTCAATAATAAATACTAAGCCTTTAAGAGGAACGTCACAACCACTGACCTCACCTTACTGAAGAGAGAAAAGTTCAAGGAGATTAAGTTGCTCAAAGCCGGGCGGTCAGTAAACAGTATAGTGGGAATGTAAAGACTGCTCTATGTGATGTAAAACTTATGCATAATTAAGAACACTGGATCATCTCCCTGACAGGAAAGTTTAAACAAATTACACAAGTTGGAAAATGTGTTCTACCGGGAACAGAAGTGTGCGGGTGGAGGGCAGCACAGAGAGCACACTCCTTTTCTCAGAAAAACAATTCTAAAATAGGCCAGGGTACTAGACTTTAAACAAACGGGCAGAGAGACGCTGGGCAATGCCTCAAGAGTCAGTTCCATTAGAAGCACCCAAGCAAAACTAAAGGCTTCATGAACTAACCTGGGATTCACCGTAGACCTTCCCCTCGACCGCACAAGCAGCAGCTTAGCCGGAACAGGAAACACAGGGACTAAAGTGTGTGTGTAAAATGAACAATGCAGCTACTGACCGCTACAACTAGTAATGACTGAAAACTATCTTTTTTAAATCTCTTTTGCTTGGCGAATTTCTAGAAAAATGCAGAATTTTTTACTATTAAAAGAGAGGACATACCTAAATAGTATCTATAATCACTTCTTGTTCTAATATTTAAAATGACCAACAGTAATTCATAGATCAGATCTAATGAAATCCCAAACCCTCACTTGCTCTTAATGACTAAACTTTTTTTTTATTGGAAAGACAGATTTAAGAGAGGAGAAACAGAGAGGAAGATCTTCCATCCTCTGATTCACTCCCCAAGTGGACGCAACGGCCAGAGCGGCGCCGATCCGAAGCCAAGAGCCAGGAGCTTCTCCCGGGTCTCCCACGCGGGTGCAGGGTCCCAAGGCTTTGGGCCATCGTCAACCGCTTTCCCAGGCCACAAGGTGGGAGCTGAATGGGAAGTGAAGCAGCCAGGACACGAACCTCGTCCATAGGGGATGCAGATGCATGCAAGACAAGGATTTAGCCACTGGGCCATTGCACTGTGTCCATGATTAATCTTTTACCTTAAAATACCGCAGAGCTTTCCTAACACAATTAGTAGCAAAAGAAACGCTACTGGACAGGCACAATGGCTCAACTCTTGTGCAGACGGTGTAACTGATAACAGCAGCTCAGATCAGAGTCTCGGGGACAAGACTGCAGTAAGCACAGCCACTGCACGCCAGGCCCCAGCCTGCACGCGGGCATCTCACGAGGGCACTGGCGTGAGCTCCAGCTGCTCTCCTCCCAGTGCAGCCCCCTGCTTCTGGCCTGAGAAAGCAATGGAGAATCGTCTCAGTCCTTGGCCCCTAGGCCCTTGTGTGAGACCCAGAAGCTCCTGCCTTCAGCCGGACTCAGCTCCAGCCATTGTGGCCATCTGGGGCATGAAGCAACAGATCACTCAGCCTCTCCTTATCTCTATACACCTGCTGCCAAATAAATAAATAAATAAATAAAACGCAAAGGAAAAAAAAGCCAAAAAACCCAATTTCCTTTTTCTTAATTTGCATCTTAGACTTTCTACAAAGTAGCAACCTTCCTGGATTAGGTCTCTGAAACCCAGCAGATGTGAAAAACCTTAAGCTAGTTAAATTTAGCAGAAGCTGTAAGCATTTGAAACATTTGTCAAATACGTTTAGATTGGCCATGGAAGCACCTTTTGCTTGATCTGAGCCTCCAGGCCATGGCGCTGTGCTTCAATCTCCTCCATCCGCCGCGTCATGGGGATCTGGCCCTCCTTCAGCCTCTTCACCTCGTCCTTCACGGCATCGCGGGCCTGCTTCACTTCCTCGTACTCCTGACGGACACTTTCATATTCCTGCCAAACAGTTAGAAACAAAATGCACCAATACTCACACGAAACCAATTTAGGTAAGACTTGTATCTCTGACAGGAAAGAAGTGTAAAATTCATCCTTGGTAGCAACTTTGGAAATAACAAATTCCAACATGTCTAAGCAAGCCTTCACAATGAGCCAGACCTTTGGCCTTCCAGAGCCTTCTTCCTGAAACTTGAACCCTAATGACTATGAATCTTACATTTTCTTCTAATTTATCAGTAAAGAAAACGATACAGGGAAAAGAAATATAAAAACTAGTGATGAAAGGTAAAACTGAATAAAAAACATGTGACAAAAGGAAAACAAAAGCGTTCCTTGTCACATCACAGACTAACAAGCATATGCTCAACAAAACTAGACGGAGAGGCAAGAGCCCTGGCCCAACCCTTCGGAGCCCCACGTCAGGCTGTGGGCACGCTGCTCTGCCATCACACCCGGGGCAGCAGGAGATGGCCGTGGGCACGCTGCTCTGCCATCACACCCCGAGGCAGGGGGTGGCAGGGGTGGCAGGGGACGGCCACGGGCACGCTGCTCTGCCATCACACTCCGAAGCAGGGGGTAGCAGGGGATGGCCGCGGGCACGCTGCTCTGCCATCACACTCTGAGGCAGGGGTGGCAGGGGACAAACGTTGACACGCTGCTCTGCCATCACACTCTGAGGCAGGGGTGGCAGGGGACAAACGTTGACACGCTGCTCTGCCATCGCACCCGGGGCAGCAGGGGACAGCCACGGGCACGCTGCTCTGCCATCACACCCGGGGCAGCAGGGGACGGCCGCGGGCACGCTGCTCTGCCATCACACCCGGGGCAGCAGGGGACAGCCGCAGGCACGCTGCTCTGCCATCACACCCGGGGCAGCAGGGGACAGCCGCAGGCACGCTGCTCTGCCATCACACTCCGAAGCAGGGGGTAGCAGGGGATGGCCGCGGGCACGCTGCTCTGCCATCACACTCTGAGGCAGGGGTGGCAGGGGACAAACGTTGACCCGCTGCTCTGCCATCGCACCCGGGGCAGCAGGAGACAGCCACGGGCACGCTGCTCTGCCATCACACCCGGGGCAGCAGGGGACGGCCGCAGGCACGCTGCTCTGCCATCACACTCCGAAGCAGGGGGTAGCAGGGGATGGCCGCGGGCACGCTGCTCTGCCATCACACTCAGAGGCAGGGGTGGCAGGGGACAAACGTTGACCCGCTGCTCTGCCATCGCACCCGGGGCAGCAGGAGACAGCCACGGGCACGCTGCTCTGCCATCACACCCGGGGCAGCAGGGGACGGCCGCGGGCACGCTGCTCTGCCATCACACCCGGAGCAGCAGGGGACAACCGCAGGCACGCTGCTCTGCCATCACACCCGGGGCAGCAGGGGACAGCCGCAGGCACGCTGCTCTGCCATCACACTCCGAAGCAGAGGGTAGCAGGGGATGGCCGCGGGCACGCTGCTCTGCCATCACACTCTGAGGCAGGGGTGGCAGGGGACAAACGTTGACACGCTGCTCTGCCATCACACCCGGGGCAGCAGGGGACGGCCACAGGCACGCTGCTCTGCCATCACACCCGGGGCAACAGGAGACAGCTACGGGCACGCTGCTCTGCCATCACACCTGGGGCAGCAGGAGACAGCCACGGGCACGCTGCTCTGCCATCACACCTTGGGCAGCAGGGGACGGCCGCGGTGTTGGAGTCCCTGCCTGCCCCCTCTGAGAGACCTTCAAGGAGTTCCTTGGCTCCAGGTGTGGGCCTGACCAAGCCCTGGCCAGTCAGGCCATTTGTGAGTGAACCAGTGGGTCAAAGAACTCTGTCTCTCTGTCACTTTGCCTTTCAAATAAAAACTGACCAAGCATAAGTACAGCAGTAATACACCATATAATACTGAATGAGATGAAGGAAGAAGAGAAAATAACACGAATGAGCATTGCGTTTCTGAAAGATTCAATCAAAAGAGTGAAATCAAGCTCGGTAGAAAAAATGGTAACCAAAAGACTTCAAAACACAAAGAACAGGTAAAAGAATGAAGAATATTGAACACAGGAGAAATACAAACAAAAAGATCTAAAGGAAAGACTTTCAAAAACAATTACAGAATATGGAACAGGATAAAGAAGAAAAAGGTTAGAATGTGACAGTCACATGGCTTTCCAACCTAATAATGATTTCCACTTTAACCTGGCAATCCATAACTATAAAACATCCTAACCTATTACATTTCATCTATTAGAGAAAGGAACGCATTAGAGAACTGAATGTTTAGTCTTAATCATGATCTCAAATAATAAAACATGCCTGAGGATGGGAAAGAGCTGAGCAGCGTGCCCAGAGGCGCACAGCGCGTGAAAGGCGCCAGCTCAGACAGCAGCTGCACCTGCAGGAAAGCCTGCAGAAATCCTCCTGATGTGGCAGAGAATTCCCAACAACCCATCCTGTAGACCACTGGCAACTGAGAAAACAAAGAGCTGATTAAATCTGGCAGAATCAGCATAGTGACCGACCTATGATCTGTTAGGGACAGTAACTAGTGCACAGCTATGTAATCAAACAGAGTAAGAGAAATACAAATTTAGCTGCCTCGACATATTAAGAAAAAATGCAGAGACATCAAATTTCAATATATGTAGTAACGAGTGCACTCTTTACAATCATTCTACGACTTAAAAGAATCACCTATTTTTGTTTCTAATAATTTAATACTTACCACCCAGGGCCTTTTTGCTTCAAGCATCTCAATTAAGTCTAAATGTCGTTTCCGTTCATAAAACCTTTCCACATCTTGTTTGTATCTTTCATTCCTTTGGATTATCTTCTCTAGATACTCAGTTTTCTCTTTGCATGTTGTCTAAAATGAATATTTGATGACTTATTAGTTTAAAGAAGACAACATGTCACATGCTTTTAACAATGAAAAGTGCACAATGTTGGTAGACTCTGAAAACAGTGCCAGCGTGGTGGCACAGCACACTGGTCGTCCCTCATGGGAGGCAGCTCAGGTCCCGACTGCCCTACTTCTGAAGCAGCTGCCTGCTTCTGGCCCACGGCCCTGGGCACCTGCCCCACATGGCATACTCAGAAGCAGCTCTTGATGCCTGCCTCCCTGGCCAGCCCAGGTACAGGAGCCACAGCAATGCAGGAAGTGAGTCAGCAGCAAACAAAATCTTAAAAAAAAAAAAAAAATCCCAGCAAAGGCTTCCCTTTGGGTTGTCGGGAACTGTTTAAAGGCGTCACACCTGAATCATGCATCGGCTTTCTCATGCACTCCCAGGCACGTGACGGAGGAGACCCTATGACAGAGAGCCGACTCTCCCCGTGAAGAAGGTTTCTGTCCGTGCACTTCTGGGAGAGGCAAATCAACTCCTCCGGTCAAAGCAAATGAAATGTCACTATGACATTACAAAGACCTCAGACCTGAGGACTTAGAAACAAGACGACATGGCTAAAGCCTACAGGCTTTCTCCTGTGCGTCAGCAATACAAACGCGGGAGACTCTGAGGATGACGCAGTACAAATGCAGGAGAATCTGCGGATGACGCAGTGGACAGGGAGGAGGTCACAGGCTGGCACAGGACAGACATCAGATGACGCAGTGGACAGGGAGGGGGTCACAGCCTGGCACAGGACAGACATCAGATGACAGTGGACAGGGAGGAGGTCACAGGCTGGCACAGGAGAGACATCAGATGACACAGTGGACAGGGTGGGGGTCACAGGCTGGCATAGGACAGACATCAGATGACGCAGTGGACAGGGAGGAGGTCACAGGCTGGCACAGGACAGACATCAGATGACGCAGTGGACAGGGAGGAGGTCACAGGCTGACACAGGACAGACATCAGATGACGCAGTGGACAGGGAGGGGGTCACAGCCTGGCACAGGACAGACATCAGATGACGCAGTGGACAGGGCGGGGGTCACAGGCTGACACAGGACGGGCATCAGATGACACAGTGGACAGGGTGGGGGTCACAGGCTGGCACAGGACAGACATCAGATGACGCAGTGGACAGGGAGGAGGCCACAGGCTGACACAGGATGGGCATCAGATGACACAGTGGACAGGGTGGGGGTCACAGGCTGGCACAGGACAGACATCAGATGACACAGTGGACAGGGAGGAGGTCACAGGCTGACACAGGACGGGCATCAGATGACACAGTGGACAGGGTGGGGGTCACAGGCTGGCACAGGACAGACATCAGATGACACAGTGGACAAGGTGGGGGTCACAGGCTGGCACAGGACGGGCATCAGATGTAGGACCAGATCTTCGTGAAGATCTCGAGCAGCTGCTCTGGTCACCAACCCTGAGTAAGTACAATAACAAACTGCAATTACATCTTACATAATTAATAGCATAACCTGTGTAATAAACTGCCCAGTATATCCTGTATAACAAGAGTATAACCGTTTATACTTCAACAAGGGATCTGTTATGAAGATTTCATGAGTTAATTCTAGTTGTTAAGACAAACAACAACAAGATCCACAAACATGAATTTTTTACAAACAGCATTCTATGAAAAGAAACGTGTTATCTACATATGATCACTAAAGGAAACAGGAAGTCAATGAGTAAGAATCCTGTAACTTTCTGGTACAAAAAAACTTACACTGTAATTGGCTTTTTTTAAAAAAACTGTTTTTATCGGAAAGCCAGATATACAGAGAAGAAGATGTTCCATCCAAGCAGCTGCAATGGCTGGAGCTGCACCAATCCAAACCCAGGAGCCAGGGGCCTCTTTCAGATCCCCCATGCGAGTGCAGGGTCCCAAGGCTTCATTCAGGCTGTCCTCGACTGCTATCCCAGACCGCAAGCAGGGAGATGGAAGAAAAGCTGGGCCACCAGGATTAGAACTGGCACCCAAATGGGATCTCGGCTCGGGCAAGGCAAGGACTCAAGGACTTTAGTCGCTACGCTAACGTACCAGGCCCAGTTATTGACTTTAGAAATTCAATTAATGAAACCCTATGCAATGTTCCCATGGCTAACCCATGCCTTATATGTGCCAGGATACCATATGGGTACCAATTCATGTCCCAGCTGTTCCATGCCCCTGACCTGGGAAAGCAGCAGAGGATGGCCCGAAGCCTTAGAACCCTAACCCATGTGGGAGACCCAGAAGAAGCTCCTGGCTCCTGGCTTTGGATTGGCTCAGCTCTGGCTGATGCAGTAACTTCGGGAGTGAACCAGTGGACGCAAGATCTTTCTCCTTCTCTCTGTAAATCTGCCTTTCCAAGAAAAATAACTGAGAGCAGGCAATACAACCCTGAGTAGAAACAGAATCAGCAGCATAAACAGCATAGTGACGGGAACGGCTCCCCATCCGCCACACGCCAGCAGCTCGAGCGGCACACACCTCCAGCTGCTTCTCCTTCTCCCGGAAGTTCTTGAGCTCACAGTGGTACATGTGCATCTCCGGGGGGCCGATGGACTTCTCAGTGGCTTCAAGGAGCTCAATTTTGCTAAGTTTAGCAAATTCTCCAACTTTGTCCTAGAGCAAAAATTAGCACCAGTAACTATTATCACCTATATTTATACATGGTATTTCACTCAATTACACACTTACAAGCATGGAACTCCTCCCAAAAGACATGAGATATCAATCTTCACATAAATGTTTTATAAACAGGATAAAAACTACCACTTTTGTGAAACACATTAAAATGCTCTACATTAACATTTACCAGTTGAAATGGTTATATACATAGAGTAACATAATAAACAGTTTTAGCACACAGGAAGACATAATTACGGGGCTGAAATGAACACCACCACACATCAGACTGGCTGTTTGAAGCTTTTTAAGCAAAAAAGTCATTTCAAACTTCTACTTCTGGAAGTATTATCAAGTTTTACATTTGCATTCAATTTGGACATTTAATCAATTCACTATTCTGTTTCTAAATCAAGCTATAATTTGGTTAATGGAAGCATTCAAAGACAATTTAGCAATCTTTGGCATATCACTTAACATTCATTATCAGGATTTTTAATTTTTAGTAAACAGTATTAAAGGACAATTTTTGAGAGTATATGTATAATTACAAATTTTATGTATCAAGTACCTTATGCAAGTACGTTAACTAAAAAGCTAGTAACAAAACTGTAAGAGTTTACAAATGGAAGGACACGGTTATCTGAGAAACTCTCTAACAATCATACAATGTCTAACCTGGACTCCATTAGTCTTCTGTACTACTCCTAATCAGGAACATTCCACTGGGAGAGCGACCTGCTGCAGGTGGCAAAGAACCGTGAGGTGAGCCAGTGCAAGAATGCAGGCTCAGCAGCGCGTACTCAGCCACACGGTTCCAGCTTCAGCTTTCTGCAAGGCATCCCTGGGAGGCAACTGCGCCAGGTGGCCGAGTCACAGGCACCAGTGGGGAAGGCCTGCAGGGAGCTCCCACATCCCAGCTTCTCCTCCATCAGTCCTCCTGGACCTGCAGGGAGCTCCCACATCCCAGCTTCTCCTCCATCAGTCCTCCCGGGCCTGCAGGGAGCTCCCACATCCCAGCTTCTCCTCCATCAGTCCTCCTGGACCTGCAGGGAGCTCCCACATCCCAGCTTCTCCTCCATCAGTCCTCCTGGGCCTGCAGGGAGCTCCCACATCCCAGCTTCTCCTCCATCAGTCCTCCTGGGCCTGCAGGGAGCTCCCACATCCCAGCTTCTCCTCCATCAGTCCTCCTGGGCCTGCAGGGAGCTCCCACATCCCAGGTTCTCCTCCATCAGTCCTCCTGGGCCTGCAGGGAGCTCCCACATCCCAGCTTCTCCTCCATCTGTCCTCCTGGACCTGCAGGGAGCTCCCACATCCCAGCTTCTCCTCCAGCAGTTCTCCCGGGCATGCAGGGAGCTCCCACATCCCAGCTTCTCCTCCATCAGTCCTCCTGGACCTGCAGGGAGCTCCCACATCCCAGCTTCTCCTCCATCAGTCCTCCTGGACCTGCAGGGAGCTCTCACATCCCAGCTTCTCCTCCATCAGTCCTCCTGGACCTGCAGGGAGCTCCCACATCCCAGCTTCTCCTCCATCAGTCCTCCTGGACCTGCAGGGAGCTCTCACATCCCAGCTTCTCCTTCATCAGTCCTCCTGGACCTGCAGGGAGCTCCCACATCCCAGCTTCTCCTCCATCAGTCCTCCTGGGCCTGCAGGGAGCTCTCACATCCCAGCTTCTCCTCCCCCAACAGTCCTCCTGGGCCTGCAGGGAGCTCCCACATCCCAGCTTCTCCTCCATCTGTCCTCCTGGGCCTGCAGGGAGCTCCCACATCCCAGCTTCTCCTCCATCAGTCCTTCAGGGAATGTAGAGAGTCAACACAGAGACAGAAGTCTGTTTCTCTCTGAATGCTTTTCAAATAAAAATACATACTCTTTTTCTTCCCAAAGAGGTGATCTTTTATATTATATAGCATTGCAATTTAGACTCTTTTACAGTATTTTAAAAACACACTATATATACAATTTTCTCATCTTCACATTTCTGCTGACCGTACCTGAGGCAGGAACTGACAGAGATTGCCCACTTGAATATTTAAGGCTGCGACCTGCTCTTCTACTACTTTTTGGGTTGTAGGTTTTTTGTTGATGAACCAAGAGGATTGATTTTTTGTCACATCAATCTCACGGGTGATTACAAGATTTCCAGAAGCCCTGAACCTAATTGGAAAGAAATTCAAAAATTTTTCCATGTTCGTAAAACACGTTAGTTTAGAGAGAGAATTTTCCCCAAATCCTCTTGTACCAAACACCAGACAGAATTATTGTAGGGTTTTGTTTGCTTTTGCTTTTCCTATTTTGGCCTCTCTCAAGAAGGAAACCTGGACATTTTATTAGTAATAATACTTTAATTGTCTACATGTCAGTTACTATTCAACCTTTAAAATTAAATTATTAAACTAAAACAAATGCCAGCACTAATTCCCAAACCGTGAGCAGAGGAGTCACATAGCTAAAGTAACTTTTCACCACACTGTTATCCAATCAGATATGTTGACTGCAATTAAAAAAATATGATGTATAATTTTAAACACCCCCTAGTTGGAAACCATATGAATAAAATCTGACTCCTGCATAAACATTTCCAAAAAACTGAATACTCAAGCAGCCCCATGGCTGCCTACGTATCCCACTTCAAATTCAGAAGGAATTTCACCCCATGGCCAATAGAATATTACAAAAAACAGAATCTGAAAGAAGGGTATTTACTGATTTCTTGCTTTTACAAGTGCTAGTGCTCCACACCTCCCATCTCTTCACCCATCTTCCTCACTGGGAATCAGCATGTGGTGGAGAGATAAACCACTGATCCCCAACGGCTCCACGGCAATGCTGTGGCAACAGGCTCCACTGTGCTCAGAATACATCACACTAAGGTCAGGACTTCAAAATACTTACAAACTTTACTTCCAGAACAACTAACGATGAACACCCTTTATTATCCTCTTGCTGTAAATAATTAAAATACCTTCATAAATCCTTGCATGAACAATCATGGAAGTGAGGACTTTTGGCAGTGGGGACCCAGAATGATGTCCCCTTTGAGGATACTTGTCCAAACAGGTGACTACAAGGATTCCCACGGGAAAAGGCAGCCAGGCCCAGAGCTGCTCAGTGTGGACAGTCTAACTACCCTTCATCACCATCAAGGAAAAGTCACAGGTGACTGGCAGATGACTGGCAGGTGACTAGCAGGTGAAACAGCTTAGCCCACTCCTAGTTTTGGGGAGTCACAAGGCCGCAGCCATGCACTGGTGTGTGTGAGGACCAGGCCTATGGTGGGCAGGGATGGGATGAGCTAGGCTGGTTGTAGCACCTGCCAGGTGGCACGAGAGATGGGGCTGAAGGCAGAACTTACCAGGCAGCTGCATCGACAAGTATGTGCACTGGCTAGCGCTGTTGACAGACCCAATCTGACCCTGCACTGGCCAGTGCACAAGAGTTAAGTCAGAGGTCACCCCAGGTGGGGTTTCTCGGGGAACTCCCCAACTAGATATTGGACTCAAACCCTGGCAACAGGAAAAATCACAATATATGTGATTTTTATCACAACAGGAAAAATCACAATACATGTGTCTGTCCTTGTAGTGTTTGTTTCAGGACGGGGCCTCCTCAGTTGCTGATGCTGTGCAGTGGACAGAATGACCAAATACAAATCTAGGCCACCAAGGGACACTGACTGCCTCATCAGAGGATGGGAAGCAGAACAGGTTGGACCACTCTCCTGGCCAAGCTCTGTAGCATGTCCCTAGCTCCGCAGATGCCTTAAGGTGGACTTGACCAGCCAACAGACTTTGCAAAGATCTTCTCAACTCCGGTACAATGAAGCCAACAACTTCTTGGAACTATCAAACCTCTCAAACAACACCTTGAACAGTCTTCCCCACATCAGGGTCTCTAAGGCGTCATCACATGACTGCTCCCCCTCCAGGTGCTAATGTGGTTTGACAGCAAGGAGCAACTCCCTCCCCTACGCCTCATGCAAACCCGAGAATAGTAACAACTGAAACTCTATCCCACCACCTTCCTCCAACCCTGACTCTCCCTACCCTAATCTGGCCCTCACAGCTGTGTATCTCTCTCAACTATGTAAACATTTAAAAATAAAATCGAAAATTTTAAGAAAAAAAGAAAATGACAACATGAAGTCATTATTTATCATATTAAACCTAAATTCAAATGGACTAAGTTCTTCAATTAAAAAACACGGACCAGGGCCCAGAAGGGTAGCATAGCAGTTAAAGTCCTCACCTTGAACGCGTAGGGATTCCTTATGGACACTAGTTCTAATCCTGGCAGCTCCACTTCCCATCTAGCTCCCTGCTTGTGGCCTGGGAAAGCAGTCGAGGACTGCACAAGGCCTTGGGAGCCTGCGCCGTGTGGGAGAACTAGAAGAAGTTCCTAGCTCCTGGATAAGGATCGGCACAGCACCGGTCATTGCGGTCATTTGGGGAGTGAATCACTGGACGGAAGATTTTCCTTTCTGTCTCTTCTCCTCTCTGTATATCTGACTTTGTGATAAAAATAAAATAAATTAAAAAAAAAAAAGTCCTCTGGGCCCGGCGTGGTGGCGCAAGTGGTTAAGGTCCTCGCCTTGCACGCCCGGGATCCCATATGGGCGCTGGTTCTAATCCCGGCAGCCCTGCTTCCCTTCCAGCTCCCTGCCTGTGGCCTGGGAAAGCAGTCGAGGACGGCCCAAAGCTTTGGGACCCTGCACCCATGTGGGAGACCTGGAAGAGGCTCCTGGCTTCGGATCGGCATAGTATCGGCCGTTGCACTCACTTGTGGAGTGAACCATCAGACGGAAGATCTTCCTCTCTGTCTCTCCTCTGTATATCCACCTTTCCAATAAAAAAATAATAAAAATAAATCTTAAAAAAAAAAAAAAGTCCTCGAGCCCTCGCCTTGCGAGAGCCAGGATCCCATTTGGTGCCAGTTCTAACCCCGGCTGCCCTGCTTCCCATCCAGCTCCCTCCTGGTAGCCTGGGAAATCGGTCGAGGACGGCCCAAAGCCTTGTGACCCTGCACCGTGTGGGACACCCAGAAGAAACTCCTGGCTCCTGGCTTTGGACTGGCTCAGCTTCAACCATTGCAGCCACCTGGGGAGTGAACCACTGGATGGAAGATCTTCCTTTCTGTCTTTCTTCTCTCTGGATATCTGACTTTGCAATAAAAATAAATAAATATTTTAAAAAATAGTAAAATAAAAACTATTTCCTCACATCCCATAAAATAAGGGCTCTCAGATAATCTTTAAAAAACTTTTTCAGCTCACAAGCCCTATGGCTCCCTATAAATTATCCAGAGAGTGTAACTCTGCCTAAAATTCATGTAACAGCATGAATATATTCCCATGTGGATTACCAAGGACAGTCCACTGGCCTCATCAGACGTTATCCTGTGATCCCTGAAAGAGCTCCCAAGAGCGGTCCCACTGAGCCCACGCAGGAGCGGTCCCACTGAGCCCATGCAGGCCCAGAGAAAGCCACAGTCGTGGCCACCAGAGGTGTTACTCGGGACAAGAAAGAGCAAGCAACCAGTTCTTTTACACACGAGTGCCCACACCATCACCCACAGCAGAGTCACACCCAGGCAGCCTCCATCCCACCGCAGGCACATTTATACCGCACTTTCACAAGAATGGGCATAATACTTTGAAAATCAGAAAAAAACATTGTAAATTTGTGAAAAATATTGTAACTTAACAAATACTAAACAGTGGTATATTTCTATTTCATTACTTTTCATAACTGTAATTTGCTTGATATTTTTTCCAAAGTAGAATTCTTACTAATTTAAATAATATTTGAAGATATATGAAAGAACTTGATTATTTAGAAAAAGTGTTCAAACATTATTTCCAATATTTATAACAATACTGCACCAGCATTCATTTCTAAAATCAATATTATACGGGAAAAGTGTCTTGGAACTTTTACCACTTACAATTCAATTTCCACCATGCCTTTGAGACATCCTCTCTTCACAAAGAACCCAACCTGAGAAAGAAAGGGAAAAGTGAGCAGTGTGATGACGCTTCCGGCGCTGCCTGCCAAACCAGGGCACCCCAACAGCTTCTCCTAGGTTCCCTGCCACACCCCAAAAATACCCTTTGCAAATGTGCTCCTTCCATTTTCCCCCCTCACAAATAACAAAAACAGTATTCGTCAAAATCCCGGAAACCTCAACGTGTCAGGTAAGCTGTCGAGCAAGGTCAAGCCAACAGATGGCAGAAACAGCATCTAAGTCCAAGAGAGCTGGCTCGTCGGTGTACTCAACACACTAAAGGACTCCAGGAACAAACCCTACGGGCAACGGTCCCCGTCGCACGTCACCCACTGAGTGCCACGCCAAGCCTCCTCACAGACAGTTCCAGACACACACATTGGACATTCTCACTACCCTGTTAGCAACTGACAAACTGTCATCAAGTAACTTTAAAAGGAGTGATACCGGGCTGACGTGGTAGGCTACATTTCTCGCCTTGCACGCGCTGGGATCCCATTTGGGCACTGGTTCGTGTCCCACATACTTCACTTCCCATCCAGCTCCCTGCTTGTGGCCTGGGAAAGCAGTCGAGGATGGCCCAAAGCCTTGGGACCTGCACCCCCGAGGGAGACCCGGAAGAAGCTCCTGGTTCCTTGCATCAGATCGGCTCAGCTCCAGCCACTGCAGCTGCTTGGGGAGTGAATCAGCAGACAGATCTTCCTCTTTGTCTCTCCTCTCTGTAATGTCTGATTTTCCAATGAAAATAAATCTTAAAAATATTTTTGATACTTTATGGCTGAGTCCTTTTGTGTTTAGAAATAATAGATAGGGCCTGGTGAGATGGCTCAATGGGCTAATCCTCCCCCGCAACTGCCAGAACCCCATACGGGCGCCAGTTCTAATCCTGGCTGCTCCACTTCCCATCCAGCTCCCTGCTTGTGGCCCGGGAAAGCAGTCCAGGATGGCTCAAAGCCTTGGGACCCTGCACCTGTGTGGGAGACTGAAAGAAGCTCCTGGCTCCTGCCTGGTTCAGCTCCAACCATTGCGGCCACCTGGGGAGTGAATCAGTGTACAGAAGATCTTTCTGTCTCCCCTCTCTGTAAATCTGATTTCCCTCTCCAACAAAAATAAATCTTTTAGAAAGATATAAATAATGTGTGGTTTCTAGTTGCTGAATGCACTTTTATAACATGTTCCCTACACTTAACTGTGTTATTCAGGTGCTCTGAGGTCAGTTCTTCTCCAACCGATCTATTGATTACCTTGCTGGCAGCTCTCCCACTGCAATTACCTATCCATTATCTCCTCATTACAATTTTCAGATTTTAGCCAGCAGTATCCATGAGCTCAGCATCCATGCATTCAAAACTAATGAAGACGGAAATCACGTGGAAAAACCTGCCTATGTTTGGAACACATACATTTTTCCTTCCCATCGTTCCCCTAAACAATACTGCAAGACTAGTTCTAGGACACGCCATCGCACTCAGCCTGTAAATGGAGGTGACCCACGGCACGCAGGACACGTGTAACCACAAGCACTGGCACCCCGCCTTAGACACAGGACTGGAGAGACGCAGATTCCAGCAGACACCCCTCCGGCCCCTGAGCGAGCTGCCTTCCGCCATTCCTGGTCCTTTCCCTTCTGTAGCTGCAGTTCCGCCTTTGTTCCTCTTCCTTCCCAGGTTTGCATTCAGGGAGGAGGTTACAGTAGAAGGTGTCTGTGGATTTCCTGTTTGAATCCTGTCTTGGACACATAAGGCTTCTAGGATCTGAGGATTCAAGTGTCTCCACTGGTCCCCCTTGCCAGGCGCACTGTCAAGCCCTCAGCCCGCGATCCCCTCCGGACTGCAGCTTCTTACATCAGCTTATCTTCCTTTGCATGCGCTTGACTGCTGTACTACATTTTCTCCACACTGCGATTTACCTGTATTTTAGCATATCGATGATCTCAAGTGTCTATGTTAATGCTTTACCTCTCCACTAACTTGCTCTTCAAGTTCTATATTTTAAAGTTAATTACATTCTTTTCCAAATTTCTTCATTTGCCATTTATTCCTGTTAACTTGCAATGTTCTTTTAGCTTACACTACGTGTCTGAGCTCTGCCGATCTGCAGTCTGTTGGCGCCTGCTGCTATTCAGCTGATTCATTTTTCTCTCATGTTTTGCGACTTGCTGTAGGTACAGACTATTATATATACTATAAATACTGTATGTATTTCTCGGAACTAATGAGGATTAGATTAGAGGTATTTTCCCTCAAAGGATTTACATTTGCTTCTTCATTTTATGATTTGTTTATTTTTATTGTGCAGGCAGAGCTACAGAAAGCAGAGTGAGAGGTCTTCCCCCGGCTGTTTTGCTCTCCAAATGGCCCGAGCGGCAGCAGCCGAGCCGATCCGGGAGCTTCCTGCAGGTGTCCCACGTGGACACAGGGGCCCAAGGACGTGGGCCGTCCTCTGCTGCTCTCCCAAGCCATCAGCGGGAGCGCAACCAGAGTGGAGTAGCCAGGACACGAACCGATGCCTATCTGGGATGCCAGCATTGCAGGCAGTGGACTTACCCGTTGCACCACAGAGGTGGCCCATCAAATTATCCTTATAAAGATTCTCAAGGAATACAGTCCAGAATAGTTCCAGGAATGGAAATCTGCTTTCAGCTCCTCCACTGTCACATTGCTTCTACACAACCACTACAACCTCACTGTAAGCCAGTAACTGAGAAATAGAAACGCGTTGGCTGCTAAAGACAAGCAACAACTTTACCTGTTTATTTTTTAGGTACTTAAATTAACTCACCTTATCTGCCCGTCCCATGAAAGCAGGTTTGCCTGCTAGTCCAAGGCAAATGGCACAAACAATACTCGACTTTCCTGTTCCATTAGCTCCAACGATCATGTTTAAGTTGGGTCCGGGAGACACTTCGCAGGCATCGTATGTTCTAAATTACAAACATGTGAAATTATTAAACAGAGATAAGAGTGTGCCCTTTACATCTTATCATCTCTTATCAAGCTCTCTTCATCATCTACAGCATCTCAAATTCCTTTCAAATCCAGCTCAAGGGCGCTTACAATCTACGATGAGAAAGTCAGTGAAAGAAATGAGAAAGTAATTATCAAATATCAAAAATATAAACTGCAGTGAGTGAAGATGCATTTTTATAACTTATCAAGTTATCACTACACAAATAAGACAATTTTAAAACAATCTTCACACAAGCAGTTACGGCTTATCTGACATCTGTGGGTTTTTCCATCAGAATGCTTATCGGCTGCTTACATATTCTAACAGTTGAAACAATCCAACCACTTTTATTTCAAACAGAAAAAGGAAGCTATGTATCAACTCAAGGTGACATGAAGACTCCATGCTGCCAATAGTGTCACCAGAGAACCTAGCGCCGGTCCACACGGAGCTCGATTTCACTCGCAGGAGCGAGAAGGAACTTCCTGCCAGGGCACTCTGAGGTAGCCCCGGGGCCTCCAGGTGCCCGCTGCCGGCACTTCACGTGAAACCCTGCCTAGCTGCCAAGGCCTTCGGCAGAATGTGAAGGAAGCTCTCTTAGGTCTAAAGACCCCGGGTTGGAACCCAAACTAACGCGCTGTGCCTATAGTACTTCAGCCAGTGCTCGGTGGCACCAGGACTAATGCCCAGACAACTGAGCCAGCACGCATCAACCACACTTCTGAACGGTGACCATTCTGAAATGCATCAAGGGTAAGAAAGTAACTCCAGGGGAAGGTCCTCTAGTCCCACTGTCTACACAGCAACGACCCGCTTTCAGACACTTGTTCTGTTGGGTGCTCAGTCACTAAGCATCCTTTATTGTAATGACTACAACTTTGGGAAATGACCTGACAATCAACTCCTGACTCAACCATCCCTTTCTAAGGAATTCTTAGTGCCAAACCCCCACCTCCCTGAGCTCCCGGGAGTGCTCCCTTCTCACAGCACACCCCTGCTGGGCGCCTGGGTGCTCCCCATGGCTCAGCAGAACCCACACACTGGAAAGGAGTCAGACGACCTCCTCAAGTCAGTGTCACTCCGCCTCAACACCGCTCCTGGATGTGGCACAGCAGTCACCCTAGCACATTCAGAACTAAATCCACCATCGTCACCCTCCCGGCCAAAGCACTGTCCCTGGCTTCTCGGTGTCTGGGCTCACTCACAGCCCCATCACTCCGATCAGAATCCCAGGCAGGCCTGTGTCCTCTTTTGCCTCTAATCAGATCAATCACCCACCGTCCAATCAATGACACCATCTCATCACACTAACTCAGTTGGCACAAATGCAAGTATCACTCGGTAACAGAAGATGCTGAGTTGGAACAAGGATCCTTGGTAATGTTGCCCCCAAGGATCTTCTGCTTTGTCTCCGCACAGTGCTCTTGTCCTGTCACTTTCGGCCCCGGTGTCACCTGTGCTTCTGGCCTTTCCCTGCAGTCTGTCCTCACCCAGCAGCCTCCTCTCCCAGCTTCACCTGCCCTGGCTCACTCCCAGCAACCTTGCCCTCACTGGACCCTCCCCCAGCCCTCCTGCTCTTTCTACTTTCTTGCTAATTCTCTCTAAGCCCACCCCTGCCCTACTTCTCTCCTGCCAAGCGTCAACTTTTTCTCCACTGGATGGCTGACCTTCACTCCCCACACCGCTCCACCTCCTCCACCTCCCAGCCTTTAAATAAAGTTCCTGCTCTGCTCAGCAGCTGGCGGCCCAAGGCAGCGGGGTGTCCTGTATGTGACATCAACCTAGGACCCGGTGTTGGCCAAACACTCACCCCCACTGGCTGTGGACGCCCCCGGGGAACTGTACACCACCTCCCACCCCCCACTGGCCATGGACACCCCCCCGAGACTGTACACGCCCTCCCACCCCCCCACAGCCTGTGGACACCTCCGGGGACTGTACACCACCTCCCACCCCCCACTGGCTGTGGACACCTCTGGGGACTGTACACCACCTCCCACCCCCCTCTGCCTGTGGACTGTACACCACCTCCCACCCGCCACTGCCTGTGGACACCTCCGGGGACTGTACACCACCTCCCACCCCCCACTGGCCGTGGACACCCCCCCCCGAGACTGTACACGCCCTCCCACCCCCCCACTGCCTGTGGACACCTCCGGGGACTGTACACCACCTCCCACCCCCCTCTGCCTGTGGACTGTACACCACCTCCCACCCGCCACTGCCTGTGGACACCTCCGGGGACTATACACCACCTCCCACCCCCCACTGGCAGTGGACACCCCCTGGGAACTGTACACGCCCTCCCATCCCCTACTGACATCTCTTTCAGGGCAGCCCCAGCTCTGCAGTGCCAACAATTACCCTACGTGCACGATTACCAAACCTCTCACCGATGGACTTTTCTTCCGAGTTCCTGACCCTTGTAATTCCTTCTGGGAAAAACTCGCAGAAGTCCCACAGGTAACTTCCAAGTCACAGGGACTACAAGGTATGCGTTATTCTGCTGAAAGCGCCCGCCTTCGGCACAGTACCTTACCATTTAGTATTAGAATGCATCTTTACACAGCCTCTTTCCTTTCACCTTCTGCTCTGTGCAAACTCTCCTCTTGCCCGTGTCCCCGGGGCCTGCGTGCTTGCCAGGCGGTCCTCCTCCCTGCTCCCCGGGGATCAGGAACCCCGCCACTCTCCGCTGGAGGCCCTGGGCTCAGGGCTCGCGCACAGTCCGTCCACACGCACTGACAGCCACCATGCAGCCCTAGTGATCGCCCGACACCAACTCAACCCGGGCCTGCGACACCGAAGACTTCTACCCCTGCTTCCCAAAGCTCTGTCCGAGGAGGGACGAGATGCGCCCAGCGCCTCCCGAGAGCCGAGGCTACAGGCCCCTCCTGACTCCCACTGCGTCCCCACGCACAACTCCCGCGAGCTGGTCCGCACGGAGCTGCGTGCACCGCACACCCGCCTCGGCTCCTGCACAGCCCGGGGCTGCGGGGCAGGCCAGCCGGGGCCGCACGCCAGCACTCCCCATCCCCAAACGTCAGCTCGCGGGCCTGCAGGGGCAGCTGGCCTCGGACGGGTCCAGGGAACCGTCCCCACTGCGGGCCCTGCCCGCTGCGGCCCCACGCACGGCCCGCCCGCGCCCCGGGCCGCCCGGCCACTCACAGGAAGTTCTCCATGAAGATGCGGACGATGGAGCCTTCCACGAAACGCCCGGCCGCCGGCGGCAGCGGCGCCTGAGGAGCGGCGGCCCTTCTCTTGCTCCGCACCTCGGACGCCGGCTCCCTGGGCAGAGCGCTCTCGGAGGCCGCCGCGCCCGGGGAGGGCGCCTTGCTGCTGGAGCTCGCCATCCCGGCTCCCGGGGCGCCCCGCCGCGCCTTCCGTTCCCAGTGAGACACCGAGCCCGCCGCGCTCCCGCGCGAACGGCCTGACGCGCGACGCCGCCGGAGGCCCGCACGGCGCCTGCGCAAGGCCGGCCCCGCCCCGGCGGCCGCGGGCTGAAAGCGCTGCTGAGGCGGGCTGGGGGCGGGGCCAAGGGCGGGAAGCAGAGGGCTGAGGGCCAGCCTGAGGGCGGGGAGCAGCGGACGGGGGGCGGGGAGCCGCGGGCTGGGGGCGGGCCTGAGGGCGGGGCTGGGGCGGGGAGCCGCGGGCTGGGGGCGGGGCTGGGGGCGGGACTAAGAGCGGGGAGCCGCGGGCTGGGGGCGGGCCTGAGGGCGGGGCTGGGGCGGGCTGAGGGCGGGGAGCAGCGGGCTGAGGGCGGGGCTGGAGGCGGGCTGAGGGCGGGGCTGGAGGCGGGCTGAGGGCGGGGAGCCGCGGGCTGGGGGCGGGGCTGAGGGCGGGGAGCCGCGGGCTGGGGGCGGAGCTGGAGGCGGGCTGAGGTGGGCCTGGGGGCGGGACTGAGGGCGGGGAGCTGGGGGCTGGGGGCGGGGCTGAGGGCGAGGAGAAGCGGGCTGGGGGCGGGCCTGAGGGCGGGGCTGAGGGCGGGGAGCTGCGGGCTGGGGCGGGGCTGGAGGCGGGCTGAGGGCGGGGAGCCGCGGGGTGGGGGCGGGGCTGAGGGCGGGGAGCAGCGGGCTGAGGGCGGGGCTGGAGGCGGGGAGCCGCGGGCTGAGGGCGGGGAGGCGCGGGCTGGGGGCGGAGCTGGGGGCGGGCTGAGGCGGGCCTGGGGGCGGGCCTGAGGGCGGGGAGCTGGGGGCTGGGGGCGGGGCTGAGGGCGGGGAGCTGCAGGCTGGGGGCGGGCCTGAGGGCGGGGCTGAGGCGGACTGAGGGCGGGGAGCCGCGGGCTGGGGGCGGGCTGAGGCGGGACTGAGGGCGGGGAGCTGCGGGCTGGGGGCGGGACTGAGGGCGGGGAGCCGCGGGCTGGGGGCGGGGCTGGGGCGAGCTGAGGGCGGGGCTGAGGGCGGGGAGCCGCGGGCTGGGGGCGGGACTGAGGGCGGGAGCCACGCTGCAGCGTCCGGAAGTGCTGAAGGCGACCTCGTCAGGGCAGGGCTGTGGACTTGGTTCTAGAAGGCCGCGGAGGCGCTCCCGGGCCTCGCTCCCGCGTGGCCGCCGTGCCCGGCTCAGGGAGAAGCTGGCCTGCCGCGGGACTCCATGTCTGTGTCAGTCAGGGCTTGGCGCTAGGCCCAGACGGGGCGGCGACTGCGCGGCCTCCTCGCCTCGGCCTCTCGCCGCGTGATTTAAAAAATAAAGTAACTGCCGGGCTGGCGAACGAGCCGTCCTTTATAAAGGAGCCCCTCCGTGTGCCAGCGTGATGGCACACGCGGGATTCGGCTGGCGTGTGCCTCGCTGGCTTCAGTGTCTCCGTGCCACAAGCTCTCATCGGTGGCCAGCAGTTTCGTTAACGGAGTGCATTTTGCATTTTCATGACCGTGTTTAAGAAGTTTGAAAATGGAAGGATCCCAAAGCAGAGACAACAGCCACTGCTGTACGTTCCTAGGGTACACCGCGCGGCAGGTGCTCGCCTGGCTGAGCAGCCGCATCGCCCTGACCCACGCCGCCCGTGGCATTGCACCCCTGAGCCCCTGCTTTCAGGCACTTGAGTGAGCCAGCATTGTGGCCTCCCCTCTGTGTGACTCAAAAAATAAAGTTAACCATCTGATATTTCTTCTACCTTTTTCCTAGTAGTTACTTTTAAAAAGTTACTCGTCCACATATGACTATGTTCGCTGCACACAGCTGTGTGTTAGGCAGTTGTGTGAGAGGCGGTGGAACACCAAACAGGTGGTCATTGTTGAGAGATGAAATGCAAACCAGGACTTGGGTGTGTGGGATTGGCTCCTGGTGCGAACGCGCACGCGGGGCGCACAGCTCAGAGGGACCGAGCAGGACGCAATGTCCAGCAAGGGGTCAATAGGTCCCGCGCTGCTAGACGTGAAAAAGATGACAAATTGACAAGATCATGGGGCCGCATAATCCTTAAGATGGCACTATTAACTCATAATTCATTTGTAGCAGAAGAATACATAAAAATAACCAAGATCCATCTGAAATGTCGCTGAAGTCTTCTATTATAAATTGAGTGGTTTGCGGTCCCTAAGACGGAAGTACTTGTGTGATTTTCCCAGCAACCTTGAGAAACGGGGCCAGTTTTGCCTCATTTTGTGCACGAGGGAAAGGACTTGAGGGGGGGAGTGACTGGCTCTCCCCACACATCTCATAAGTGGCTTCGCTGCATCACCTCCGGATAGTCCTGCACATGTTGGAAACACAGTGCCATTGCAATCGGCATGACGAGCCCACTCCTCCCTGCACCCTGTCCTGCAGTCATGGGGAAACCGCACAGAGAAACAAGTCCCCTGCACAAGAACCAGGCGTCCCAGAGCCCAGGCCTTCGCACACCCAAGGCACCAAGACATGAAGGGTTGTTGGCTAGCTGCCGGCTCTCGCTGCCGTCCCCAGGCTGCAGGGACAAAGTCACGCCCTCTGAGGTCTCCGTCTAACAGCCTGCACATAGGTGTGCGCGGGGCAGTCTGAACTGGGTGGGCTGATTTCTGGCTCTATTTTCCTTACAAACCTGTGAGCTTCTTTGCAATCTTTATGCATAGACTGCCACCAGGAGCACAGGATTGTTAAGAATGCCTTGCCAAACTGTTTCTACTTGCGTATTCAAAACCAGCCCGAATCTGATGCACATTCCCCATAGCTACTCCTTTCCTCACTACTGAACCTGAGTCGGCTCTTTCTGGACAGCAAATTAGAGGAGAGAGAGCAAGATGTGTGAGCATCAAGACTCTGAAGCGCGTGTATTCAGTGCTGGTGAGAATTACAGAAACGCAAGCCCTGGGCTGGGACTGGTGAGCAGTCTGAGCTTCTGTGCCTTCCTCTCCCGCACTTCCAACCCTAGAATCCTGTGCTGTGTTTACCGCCCACCACGTTTCATCCAGGTGAAACCGTGGAAATAAATGCTAAAGGCAACCGGAAGGGAAGGCGAGCTTCAGAAAAATGGATCCCGCCTCACGAGGGAAGGCGAGGTAATCAGTTCGCTTTTGTCTTTTATATGAACGGCAGGTTGTTGCTTAGCAACCAAGGGCAGTCATAATAATACCTCCTTTCATTCAACACTTAACACTTCCACCCCTTTCCCTCGAGCACAAAATGAGGCAAAACCGGCCCTGCTTCTTAAGGTTGCTGGGAAAATTACACGAGAATAGTACAAGCGCTTCCGTCGCGGGGACCCCAAATCACTGTTTATATTAGAAGACTCATTCGCCACATAACTTGCTGATTATATCTATGTGAGGCATCGACTTGAGTCCTAGGGACGTGTCTTCATTTTCGAATCAGAAAATGCAGCCGTATCTCTAGGAAGAATAACGCCTCGAAGGAATGATGGTAGCTGGTGAGCTGCTGGATTGGCCAACGTCCTGAAATCCTGCTTTCCTGATGTCCCAACTCCGTTTAGGAAGTGATCTTCTCTGCAAAATGAGACACGATGAATAAAAAGATTTGATTCACATCTTTTCATTTTTATTGCAAAATTTATTAGTTCCGTAAACCTCAGGATATTGATTTGGGTAGTTGAATATTTATTATTATTATTATTTTTTTTATTGGAAAGGAGGATATACAGAGAGGAGAGACAGAGAGGAAGATCTTCCTTCCGATGATTCACTCCCCAAGTGAGCGCAATGGCCGATACTATGCCGATCCGAAGCCAGGAGCCTCTTCCGGGTCTCCCACATGGGTGCAGGGTCCCAAAGCTTTGGGCCGTCCTCGACTGCTTTCCCGGGCCACAGGCAGGGAGCTGGAAGGGAAGCGGGGCTGCTGGGATAGAACCGGCGCCCATATGGGATCCCGGGCGTGCAAGGCGAGGACCTAACCACTTGCGCCACCGCGCCAGGCCCCTATTTTTGTTTTCAAAGTAATATTTCGGAGAGGTGGAATGCCCTCAACAGGTTCACTTAGAGGATTTTTGTTTTTGTTTTCCACTGTGATGGGAAAGCTTCCAACTTGACCAGAAGAGTGGACTTGGGGCCAGCCAGGCCCTCCTTCGGAGGCGTTCCGGGTGAGGAAAGCTGAGTCCTGAGCACCTATGCCAACCTAATCTGCACGCTGTCTGTGAATCGGACTAGAAAGGTTTTTATCTCAAGGGACTCGGGAAGCTGACAGGAGTTGGTTCAGCCATATCTTCTTGTTGAGTCTCTACTACACACCAGACCTTATCTGAATCTGGAAAATAAAACAGCACGAGTCCTTGCCCTCAGAGAGTTGATGTCCCAATGAAATAAACTCAGGAGCAAATCTGAGCCAGCGCATGTGAAATGAAATCGTCTTTAAAACGTATTTTTTGTGCCAATGTCTGCACAGAAAAGGGGCAAAGAAGCATTTTATTGTGGCAGAGATTCAAATTAGATGACACAGTTATGCAGTGTAGAATTTATTTCAAAAGACTTCTTATTAGCTAATCTTACAATTCCATAGTTATCTCATGCACATATATACAATTTTCTAAACATGTAAATAAAAAGCAGTAGTTTAGTATGTCTGTTTAAATTTATATTATTCAAAAATTTACCAAATCATTTATTATAAAAAAGTAAAATCTTTAAAGCTTATAAAAACTACCTGTGTGTGCACATACACATTTTCAAGCTTGCTTTACAAAAAAAGAGTGCAATTCGTAGCCATGTGCTCACAGTGACTTTCAAAGGAGTTCAAGGCAAAAACTCAAGACCCGCGTTCCCTTGGAGTTCAGTGTGGACCAACACACCCCGGACGTTCATAACACAGCTTCCGTTACAACATCTGGTGAAAAACCAACCTACCATTTCTATGAATCAAACAGGAAATAAGACTTTATTTTCCAAAACTTTAGTGAACACGCATTCATTCTGCAGATC